TACCGCAAGGCACTTTGTGTCCTAGGATTTTGCACTCTTGGACTCAGTAACATATTTTTTGTTTCAATTAAGCCTCCATCTGACGGTCCATTGCAAATATTTTACTATCCTATTCCACTCCCCGATCCGAGAAATCTTTGTTTTGCTATGTTGTCTTTTCAGTTTGCTGATCAAAAGCATCAATCATTGATAAAATGGGAAGCATACAAGAAAATTTCGCGAACGACAATTTATCCATTCCAAATATTCTTCAATGTAGCGCAAAAATAGCGCAAGTGATCGAGTTATTAACGAGATACATACTTACTGGGAACAATGGTCGACTTTTAATTTTTTTAGATTTGCCTGAAATTGTTCAACCCACCTTGAATAGATTTATGAACGCTGATATCGAATATCACGTCCGTTTTTTGGGTTAGGTGTTAGGTCCATGTTCCCCGCAAAATTAGGAATTTTCCCTACATAAATCTAGCTTCTCCAGAGAAGTATCAGTGTTCCGGAGAATCTGTGCATGATGGATAAAAGCTGAAGCCGTGTACGGATTCAGCAGCCAAAATCTCATAGGGAATTTAGTATTGCATGCCTATTAAAGTTTCTTTCTAATCCTAATATCGAGATTTTTCCGGACCAGTGCTCCTATTCGCCCATATAACACCATCCCTAGTAGCCAAAATATTCTTTTTAATAATTATCTAAATAGCAATTTAATATATATCCAAATAGCTATGAAATAGGGTATAAAATAGCCAAAGTTAGATGTAAAATATCCTATCTAAATACCCTATATAGTGTCCTTTTTTTCAACTATAAATACCCTATTTTATAGCTTTCTGGACAGCTATAAAATGGGTATCTGAATACCTATTTAATAGGTATATGGATACCTATTGAAAAGATATTTAAAAGGTATTTCAATTTTGAAAAAGAACCAAAATTGAGACCTTGAAAACCATAAGGTGGTAAGTGCATTGATACGTTGCCAAGATTGTGCAACTGTATACGATAAATGCAGCAAATCAAAACCATGTAGAGGTGAAACTCTTTTAGCAAAAATTCCCTGGGCTATGCTGATTTTTTTTTTTTTTTTTGCATTAAGGTTTGCAATTATATGTGATTTTGGTTTGCAAAAAATGAAGTTGCTCTATCATAGCAACGTTGCAATGTACATATCATCTTATGGTTCTTAAGGCTGCAACTAACAATACTACGAAAATTCATTAACATGTTTAAGAAAATATACAATAATTCTTGGGTTTCTTAAATGTTAAGGTTGAATGATGCAATTTATTCCACCCATTTAGTGTTTTAAATTATTCACTATCCCATAAAGTACATGACTTCCCTTAATTTAATTGTTCAAATAATGTCTTACTGCTACACAAAAGGGAGGAGCCGCACTTATTATAATACAGAAAAAGATTGTCCGCAATATTCTTAAATGATGCAAAGGTGCCGGATTTTGCACGGATATTTTCGGAAGATTAGATGCTAACTGGGAACTGGGTATGTATCCCTTGCAACAGGGTGAGGGGCTTGAAAGAAGAAAAAAACCTAGTACATAGCTGTAAAATACATATTTTCAAACATAAATTTTAAACCAAGATAAATGCGCATGGAATAGCTACGAAATAGCTATAAAATAGCCTTTCTGGCCGATACCTATTTGCTAATCCTATTTTGGCTACAAGGGATGTATAATTCATCCGATTGTTTTGCGGCGGAAAGGAAATAAGGAAAACATTTTTCACAGGTAACTAGTGGCTGATTCCCACTCAATTTTTGCCTCTGAATCCGAAAATTATCTTATTTTTAATCTAAAATATACCAAATTTTTGAAAAATAGATTTTTCAGCTCCAAAAAATCCCCTTTTATTGGGATATTGATTTTTCCGAAGGTTTTGGAAGTGATTGAGGATCATTTTCGGCTGCACCCTAGTGGCAGAGCTAAATTCACAGTATAAACGAAGTATAGCAGTTATATAAAGAGCGTATTTATATAAAGAATTTATAATCAAACTATAACGGTTATATGAAATATATATAAAGAGTGTATTTAAATAATAAAATATGTATAACTGAAGTATAACGGTTATACAGGGTTATCCAAAAGTCACCTACCACCCCTGTAACTTTTTTCCTATTTGACATAGAAGTTTAAAATTTTGGGAATATTCCCCGGTTTAAGGTAGCAACTTTTTGGTCCCCCCAAAATTTCGGCCCCTCCTAAGGGGGGCGGGGGCTAACTTTTTTTTTCAAAAACCAACCCCCTTTTTTGTGATACTTCATTCGAAAGATAATAAAAAAAGAAAATTTTTGGCGCAAACCGCAGGTCAAAATGTTGATTTTTGACAAAATGGCGGCCGGTCAAAGTTCAAAATGGCGGGAATTTGACATCTCCACTTTTTATCGGCGGATTGGTCTGAAACTCAGGATCCCAGGGTTTTTTGGGACGAGAAAAACGATTCTGGCATTAGTTTTCCAGAAATGTCAGTCCTTTTCAAAATGGCGGCGGTTAAAATGGCGGCTTAGAGCGGGAAGTGGATATTCAGGCTGCTTATCGTCGGATTTGTATGAGATTTGGTATCCGGGGGTATTTTGGCACGAAAAGAACGAATCTTTCATTGGATTTTTGAAATTTTTAAAAACTTTAAAATGACGGCAAAAATGCGAATGGCGATGGTGGATACGGATTTTCCGTTATTTTTCCGACGCCATTTTGACGATATTCAGTGTTTCAAAAATCTAGTGAAAGATTAATTTTTTCCGAGCCAAAAACCACCAGAGTATTGACTTTTGTGCAAATCCATCGGTAAACAGCTTTGATATGGATTTTCCGTCATTTTTTCGCCGCCATTTTGAAGTTTTTAAAAATTTCAAAAATCCAATGAAATATTCGTTCTTCTCGTGCCGAAATACCCCCGGATACCATGTCTCATACAAATCCGACGATAAGCAGCCTAAATATCCACTTCCCGCTCTAAGCCGCCATTTTAACCGCCGCCATTTTGAAAAGGACTGACATTTCTAGAAAACGAACGCCAGAATCGTTTTTCTCGCCCCGAAAAACTTGAGCATTCTGATTTTCAGACCAATCCGCCGATTAAAAACGGAGATGCCAAATTTCCGCCATTTTGAACTTTGACCGGCCGCCATTTTGTCAAAAATCAACATTTTGACCTGCGGTTTGCGCCAGAAATTTTCTTTTTTTATTATCCTTCAAATGAGGTATCACAAAAAGGGGGGGGGTTGTTATTTGAAAAAAAAAATTAGCCCCCGCCCCCCAAAATTTGGGGGGACCAAAAAGTTGCTACCTTAAACCGAGGAACATTCCCAAAGTTTCAAACATCTATGTCAAATAGGAAAAAAGTTACAGGGGTGGTAGGTGACTTTTGAATAACCCTGTATAAAACATTTTTACAAATAACTTTTATGTAAACTAATTATAAAGGTTATTCGCGCACTTTATAAAATTATTTGATTAATAACGGTTATATGACGGCGGTTTCCTTTGAACATCCCGTTACTTAACCGTTATACGAGTGGTATACTTTCGTTAAAATTTTTTTTATATAAATCTGCTAGGTACTAGGGCAGCGTCAAGAATTGAGTGGGAATAACTCCACTTGTTGTGTGAGGAATAAAATTTTCTTCTCTTCTCCGACGCATAACGATCGGATGAGTTTTACATGGCCTTATAAAGGCGGAAAGGAGCACTTGTCCGAAAAAATATTAATGTTAGGAACAGAGAGGAAACGTGAATGAGCATGCGATAAATGGCTCTTGTGTGATTTTGGCAACTGAATCCGAAAATCACCGTATTTTTCTCTCGTCATTCAGTCTGCATAAACTGCTACGTGTGAAGCACGTAAGGGTCGCTAGTAGTTTAATAAAATTCCCAGAAAGTTAAAGTGGTGCGAAACTTGCGGAGAATGTTTTTTAAACGATAGAATGCATCGAACATGTTTGATATTAAAATGTGATTTAAGAATGTTAAATCATATTTTGGAGGATTTTGCTTTGAATAACAATAAAATTATTAATTAATGCTGAAGGTACCCGGGCGCGTAGTAGCGATTCTTGAAAGATGCCTATGCATCTCCCATTAGAATTGGGCCCAGAACGGAATCTTGTCATACCTTCACCTTTTGTAGAAGAAGGTTAGAGAAGTTTAAAAATGGCGGAGGTTTTGATCCAGCCCCCCGGGGGATGGGAGGCAGGGGGGGGGTCAAAGAAAAATCAACTTTTGGGCACTTTTGAACGGTTGTATATATTGAGTTGAACTTTTTTTTAAATGAAAGAGCATAAAAAAACCTCTCTATCGAGTATAAGAAATTTACAATCAGTTAATTTTTGGCAAAGATATGGCTCATCGAATTTTTTGAAAAATTTTAATTTTGGATTTTTCAATTTTTCGATGTGGGGGGGTTACACGAAACGTTATGAATATGTATGCAAAACATAGCCCTTATTTTTTTCTTTAAAATGAGCTAAAGAACATGGTGAGGAAACGATTAGTTGCGGAGTTACGCTTTTTCTAAGTTGACGTATCTAGTTGACCAAGTAGCGTCCGTCACGGCCAGCCAAGGGGCTGCGCCCCCTGGATTCCCGATCACTCGCTACGCGAGATTACTCCCTGATCGGGAATCCAATGACAACAAGGAATTTAATGACATTTCCGGCTAAATCATGGGTTTTCCCAGGGAGGCAGCCTCTCGTCCCTCCCGGACTCTACTGTTGCCAGATGAGTTGCTTTTTTAGCACTTTTCCCAATTCAAATCCATGTAAAATATTTTAGGGGATAAAGAGAAACGATAACTTCGAAGACATGAATACTTTATTCTTGTATCAGATACACGAGAGCGAGACAACGAAAAGCAGGCTACATACTTGAAGGAGTCGTTTCTCTTTATCCCCTAAAAGGTTATGGGCCCAGTAATTGCGTGCGTGATTATCGGATTGTGCGTTAGTTCGGGAAACGTGATCTGATGTTTCGAACTTTGAAATTCTTCACAAAAGTGCGTAGCCGGTCTAACAACCCAAGCAAAAACGTGGCCTAAAGTTATCGGTATCGGTATAGTTTTGTATTTCGCAATCGAAGTCAAATCATGAGTGATGCAAAAGGAAACAAGTTTATGTTTAATGTGCGGATACTTAGTAGAACTAACTTTAACAATTTGAAGTTCAGGATTAACTCCATCCTAGATCAGAAACAGATAACTCATGTGCTTGAAAGTGATGGACCCGCGGCCGACGCAGTGGCTGAGACAAAGAAGAGCTTCAAGGAAATCGACGCCAAGGCAAAGGCAATTATCATCCAAGGTATTGAAGATAAACACCTAGATATAGTTAAAGATTCGAAAACAACCAAACAGATGTTAGAGACACTGCAAGCAGTATTTGTAAGGAACAGTGCGTTCACCAAATTAACTTTATGGAGAAAGTTAATCAACCTGAAATGTGGGTCCACCGACAAACTTGAAGATCACTTTCTCAAGTTTGACGTCATAACCAGAGAGCTGGAAGATGTTGGTACTAAAATTGACGAACAAGATAGAATCTGTCACCTGCTACTTTCTTTGGGGAAAGATTATGATACAGGTATCACCGCTTTGGAAACCATTCAAGATGTCAAAGTGGACTATGTGAAGGCGCGTCTCTTGGATGAAGACATCAAGCTGAGGAATCGTAGTTCGGTACCTGCCAGTGGATCATCAGAGGCTAGTTTCGCAGCAGGAAGTAAGCAACTATGTTACGAGTGCAATGCTGAAGATCATTTTGCCCGTGATTGTCCCAGGCGCTCTCAAGGAAATCGTGGAAGAGGCAACGGATATCACCGAGGAAGTAATCGTGGACGCTACCATCACCGAGGAAACAACAGAGGACGCAGAGCAGAAGAGGATCAGCTCACATTTCTGAAGAGAAGGAAATATCTTTCTTCGCATTCAACACAAAGGAAGTTAGTTTAATCAGCAAAGAAGAAAATGACGTTTTTATTCTAGACTCCGGAGCAAGCAGCCACATGATGCAGCATGGTATGATTAAAAATATGTACGATATTTCCTATTTTGATAAAGGATTTCCTATTGAAATCGCAAATGGCGAATCAATGACAGCTGTTGCTGTAGGAAAATTAAAATATTTGTGTCATGAAAAACTTATTGTAATTGAGGCTCTAATAGTTAAAGAATTGACCCACAATCTGTTGTCAATTAGAGTACTTGTAGACAAAGGATACAAAGTCATTTTTTCTCAAGGTAATATACGCATTTGTTGTAGCGCCTGCTTACGCTTCGTGTGAGATACGCCTTGAGTTCAATGCTTTTCGTTTGTTTACCTCCGTATTTACCTTCCTACTTTTTAGATGATGCACGCGTTGGTAAACACTCGCCTAGCCTGACCTTAAGTCGTGGTCACTGTTGATGTATAAAACCTGCCTCAATTCTGAATAAAGTTGTTGTTCGATATCACAAGTTGAGTCTATCATTTGTGTGTGTAGAGCAGCCATTATATTGTGGAACAGGTTGGAAAATTGAATGTGAACAAGAAAAAGGATTGTATTATTTAAAAGAAGCTCTTGAAAGACAGGAAAATTGTAATATTGCTAATTCGTGGCTTAGGCGATTAGGCCACCTGAATAACGAGAGCTTACGACAGCTAGACTTACCTGTTACTAATAATAAGTGTGAAACTTGTATTGAGGGCAAAGCCAAAAGACTACCATTTCCTTCGCATGAAAAACGATCTCGTTTTATAGGTGAATTAATTCACTCAGACATAAGTGGTCCTATCACACCAACAACGATTAATGGTGAAAGATATTTTCAGGTCATAGTTGATGACTTTTCGAACTTTGTTGTAGTAAAACTTTTGGAGACTAAAGATGAAGCAGAAGAAAATCTTATTTGTTATATTAATGAGGTAGAAAGGCAAAAAGATGTATTTGTTAAAAGAGTACGACTGGATAATGGCGGAGAGTTTACGTCTAATTATTTCAAAGGTATGATGCGACAAAAAGGTATCTTGCTCGAGTACACAAGTGCTTATAGTCCATCACAAAATGGAAAAAGCGAGCTTATGAATCAAACATTACAGAATAAAGTTAGAACAAAACTTATAGACTCTGGAATCTTGAAGAATCTCTGGGGAGAAGCTATCCTATGTAGTGCGTATGAATTGAATCGTTCTCCCTCAGAGAGTTTACCTGCTGGTAAAACACCAGCTCTTCTTTGGCATGGTAGACAAGACCTTAGTAAACTAAGAATATTTGGATGTAGGGCTTGGTGCATCACTTTGCCAAAAGAATCAAAATTGGAACCACGAGCTGAACGTGGAGTAATGGTAGGCTATTGCGGTAGTGGTTACAGAGTCTGGCTTCCACAAGAAGAAAAAGTAGTAAAATCTCGGGATGTTAGATTTGATGAATCAGTCGCTGAATATCGAGATCATCTAAACCAAGAAAATCATACTCCGTCCGACAACTGACCGACAATTGACCCAAATTGTCAAGAAAATGAAGCACACAATAAACCTTGTATTGAACCAGATAAGGAAAGTGAGGTAAATATAGTTAATAATCCAACAAGCACTCCTAGCTTAAGTTCTGATCTTTCTTCCAGTAAAGATAAGAAAATACAATCAGGTAGAACTGTCAACTTGCCAAAATATTTGCATGATTATATAATCTGGAGGTTAATTATTGCAATTGCTATCATGTGCGAAAGAACCAAAAACCTTCAGCGAAGCCAGTAAGTGTCCAGAGTGGAGAGAGGCTATTAGCAAAGAGTTGAATTCGCATGAAAATCTAGGGACTTGGTCCCCTGCTACTTTGCCTGAGGGGGCTAAAGCTATTGAGACCAGATGGGTTTTTAAAATTGAGGATGACGGGACGAAAAAAGCTCGTCTTGTGGCAAAAGGGTTTCAATTAAAACCTGATAATAATGAGCATGTATATGCACCTGTCTGTAGGCCAGCCATACTCTAAAACTGTTATTGTCTCTCACAGCAAAGGAAAAGTGGGCTATGCGTCAAATTGATGTACCCACTGCTTTCCTAAACGACGAAATTGGATACTGAAGTTTACATTAAAAGGTCAGAAGGAATTTCACTGATTGTTATGTTTTTAAGCTCAATCGCGCTTTGTACGGTCTTAGAAATTCACCTCGATGTTGGAATGATACTTTTACCAAAAAGATGATCAGCTATGGTTATAAAAGGTCATCCTACGACTATTGTTTGTACTATAAAGATGGTGTTTATTTGTTGATACACGTTGATGACTCATTAATCTGTGGGGAACCTCAGAAGGTAAATGTTTTGATAAATATTCTTCAAAAAGAATTTAATGTCAAAGTATTCGAAAAAGTTGAGCGTTTTCTCGGAATGAGTATCAAACAAACTGAGACCTCCATTGCGATAAATCAAACTCAAATGATACAAAATTTATTAGAAGAATTTGGAATGTCAAAATGCAATCCAATTGCAACTCCCTTGCCAGCAGATTTTCATATTGATGATGCCCCAGTAATAGAAGATGTGCCTTACAGAAGATTAATTTGTAGTTTAATGTATATTGCTGTTACCACGAGACCAGACTTATGCTTTGCGGTATCTTTGTTGAATAGAGTACTTGGCCGACCCACAGCTGCCTGTTGGAATGTCGGTAAGAGAATCTTGAGGTATACTTAAGTGGAACCAAAGATTTAAGTTTAGTATTTAAAGGTTCACCCCATGATGAGTCTCTTACTTGCTACTCAGATGCTGACTGGGCTGGGGATAAGAGAGACCGCAAGAGCATCAGTGGCTGTATGGTTTTTGATAGTGGAAACCCAATTGCCTGGTTTTCTAAAAAGCAGAATTGCGTAGCAATTTCCTCAATGGAATCCGAGTTGTATGCAGCTTCTATTGCTGTACAAGAACTTGTCAACATCAAAGGAATTTTAACAGATATGAATAATTCTCCTAAAAATACTGGACTCCTTTTAATAGATAATGAATCTACTGAGTCAGCAATCTGCAACTTTGAAAATTCAAAAAGGGCTAAGCATATCGATATAAGGGCACATTTCATTAAAGATTTGTATAACAAAAAGGCTTCTGAAATTCAACACATTCCTAGCTCAGAAAATGTTGCTGATATTTTCACAAAAGCATTGCCCAAAGAACTATTTGTAAAACACCGAAACAAAATCCTGCAAAATTGTGTTTAATTTTTTCTTTCTTTCCTGTATGTAAATTCATATTACTCAGTTATTTAAGAGAATGAAAATGTAACTCTATTTTTTTTTTCTCCATCAAAAATATATGGAGAACAAAGTTTCTAAATTTCTACTGCATCCACTTGTATTCTAGGATTGCCAATGCTTGTATCTTGTTGGGCGATCCAAAGGTTTTTCCTTAGAATTTAAAAACACTTTGAATAGAGGGGGGAGGGGGGTGTCTCACATACATTGGAGCGCCATCTGTCGGCCATTCACTTCTCTCACTATCAGAGCCTCCTTCTCTTTTATCTCTCCCCTACTTTGTTCGACTCCTTCAAGTATGTAGCCTGCTTTCCGTTGTCTCGCTCTCGTGTATCTGATACAAGAATAAAGTATTCATGTCTTCGAAGTTATTGTTTCTCTTAAATTTATCCCCTAAAAAAATATTCACATTTATCGCACAAACTGGCAACCTCTCGAGTGAAATAGCAAAAGGTAGAATCGCTGAAAGTCTGAATCCTTCGAAGTTCATATTAATGATGTCATGATTGTCTTTTACTGATCATTATATTTTTTTCTGGTATCCAAAATCAATGCTCATAGTTTTTTTTTGTCCTTAAATAGTGATCATATGCATACTACCAAATCACAAAAACCACTTATGACAAAAGTAACAAGCAGGCCAATCCATTGGCGGATGCAGGAGGGGGGGCAATGGGGACATGGTGGGGACCCCTTCCCCCTTGGACCAATAAAAGGGGGAAAGAAAGAAAAAATTAGGAAGAGAGAGAGAAGAGAGTGCTCCGGGAGAGTGTTTGGGAGACAGAAAGTGCTCCTAATAATTTATTGAAATGGTGTCAAGAGAGAACTTCAGAACTATTTAACCAATTTTACGAAGCCAAA